CGAACCGATGGCCCTTTGGTTTTGCTTCTGAGATAAAGCCAAACCCAAGGCTGCGGTTCCAAATTGGCCACATTGTCTTTTCTGGATAAAAACATAAAAAAAGGAACAATAAAAGCGTGTTTTTATTTTACATAGAGACTGCGGCAAATGCAAATCATTTTCCAGCCCAGGAATTGTCCAGGATGCGATGAGACAAAATTAAATTAGCGTATAGTCTATTCTTGTGGTCTATATCCTATCATACATGCGTAGTGTGGATAAGGTATATGGGTCATTACAATATATGTATTTTATAGGAGTAGTTCTTCGTACGAACATGACGTACCTTTTTTATTAAAATATTAATATATTTACCGAGAACATGTGAATAATAAAACGTATCAACATACTATAGCTACGCCATCGATTATATATCTTAATACATAATCTGTATTTTAACAAAGAAAAGACGTGATGCATATAGAATTTCTATAAACAAAGGGTTAATCTTAAAGGGATGAGCATGCGTTAATTTGCATTTTGCTCCCCTTGGTCACTGTCACCAAGCCATCCCTAGAAATATACAGCAGTACAAATAATTTCCTTAGATAAAAGTCGTGGAAGACTTTTTCCGGAGAAGAGACTGCTGACTTGGAACCAATCCTATATTTCTTTTAAAGAAAAAGTAAGACAATTAAACGTGCCCATATTTGAAATGAAATTGAACACATGAACTGATTATTATTCCGAAGCTTCTCAGAATGGAGTAATATTGCTCACTTTCTCCCTATAAATACCACCACAATTCCCTGTTGCACTCATCCATTCCAACTTTCAACTCATTTCACCAACAACAGCTACTTTTTTCTCGAAAAAAAGATCATAAGATTCTTTGCTTACTTCTTGGAAAGCCGAACAAAATGTTGCACAACCTCTTTGACAAAATCACAGGCCAGGAGCAGAATGGGAAAAACAGTAGGAAGATCAAAGGGACTGTGGTTTTGATGAAGAAGAACGTGTTGGATTTCAATGACTTCAATGCTTCTGTTCTTGATGGTGTGCATGAACTGGTAGGCCAAAGGGTTTCTCTGCAGCTCATCAGTGCTGATCATGGAGACTCTGGTGAGTTTTTTTTATCTCTCTCTTTAATTTTCATTAAAAATGTATAATTTTTATGGCTTCATTGATTGAATATGCATGACATGAAACCAATTTGAGTTTTGCTCTTGTTTCATTTCCTTGTAATTCTTTTTCTCTGAAGCAATTATGACAAGATTAAGAAGATGACCCAACAACTCTATCTCTTTCCTTGGTGGATTAGTTGGGTTACAGATTATGTCATTAATCACTTTTCTTATTTGATGCACACCTGCCTTTTAGGTCCAAAAAATCAGATTTTGAATGCAATTCTGACATAACCAGGCAATGGAAACAGCTTTTTGACAATTCAAGGGGCACCTGGGTCAATTAATCCATTTTTATTTATTTATTTTTTGGGTCCAGTCATGAGGCATTTGGAATGATTGGTCTTAACCTTACCCCTTCCAACACTCTCTCATTGTGATTGAAGGTGCCCCAACACTGTTTTTGCCCCGTGTATGCAAGTGATTTGGTGGCTAAAAGTACAGTAGAGACATTACTATTTTAATGGCAGGGGTTTTATAGTCAATCTAACAGCATCAATATTTATTGTACTATTTGGTGTGCTACACGAGAAATCTATATTATTTGGGGGGTCTCTATCATTCGGAGGAAACAAAAACTTTTTAATTCATCTTCTTCGTGTAATTATGTCATCCTCATTTCTGGTAACAAAAAATTTGAGTAAAAAACCAGTTTAGTTTTGAAAGATATGAAAATGATTTTTAAATCATGGCCATCAGCCATTCCATTTGTTATTTTTTAAATAGTGGTCATGTCATGAAGTGATTAGACAGGAAAGCTAATCTTTTTCTTAACATGAAAATGAAGCTCCATGCAGTTGTCTGTTGGCTGTTGGCATAGCTTTTAAGCCTTTTTCGGATTATGGTTTTTTACTCAGATCCAATTATTTTTGGTTTTCCTTTGAATATTCTGAAGAAACAGCTGCAGGTTCTGTTCCTACTAGATATGGAATTATATTCTGAACTTGGAGAAATGTGTTTTTTGTAGAAAACGGGTTTAAGGGGAAACTTGGAGAGCCAGCATATCTGGAAGACTGGATCACCACAATCACTCCATTAACAGTTGGAGATTCTGCATACAAGGTTACCTTTGACTGGGAAGAGGAAATAGGAGTTCCAGGAGCCATCTTGATAAAAAACAATCATCACAGTGAGTTCTTCCTTAAGACTATCACCCTTGAAGATGTTCCTCGTGAGGGCCGGGTCCACTTCGTTTGCAACTCATGGGTGTACCCTGGAGAAAAATACACGAAAGACCGTGTTTTCTTCGTTAACAAGGTAACGAATAATTCACACCATTCATTGTAGCTGATGGCAGTTGTAACTTCTTAGGGCAAGCTTAGTATGTTATGAGTATATTAGTGACTTGTATTGTAAGTTAAAGACTAAAGTTCATGCCTGCAATATATTTGTGCAGACATTTCTCCCAAGTGAAACACCGTTGCCGCTGCAAAAATACAGAGAAGAAGAACTAGTACATTTGAGAGGAGATGGAAAGGGAGAGCTCCAGGAATGGGACAGGGTCTATGACTATGCTTACTACAATGATCTAGGGAACCCTGATAAGGGTCCCAAATACGCCCGACCAACTCTGGGAGGGTCTAGCGAGTACCCTTACCCTCGCAGGGGAAGAACTGGCAGACCACCAACGAAGACAGGTTAGCCATTTAAATATCTTTGTGTCATTTTTTGTTCCTCAAATCATTAATTAGCAGTCACAAGAGGGATCATATTTTGTAATTTTTACTGTAGAAGTTGATATACTAATTTGGATTTTAATGAACTGATGTTGTAATTATCACTAAGATTTTTCTGATCTTATTCTAACAGATTCTAACAGCGAGAGTAGGATTCCGCTTCTTCTGAGCTTAAACATTTATGTGCCAAGAGATGAACGATTTGGACACTTGAAGTTGTCAGACTTTCTGGCTTATGCACTGAAATCCATAGTTCAATTCATTAGGCCAGAGCTAGAAGCCCTGTTTGATAAGACTCCTAACGAGTTTGACAGCTTGGAAGATATGCTTAAACTCTATGAAGGAGGCATTCCATTGCCTGAAGGTTTATTGAAGGATATCGGAGACAACATTCCTGCAGAGATGCTCAAGGAAATTTTCCGAACTGACGGTGCACAATTGCTCAGATTCCCCATGCCGCAAGTGATTGAAGGTATATGGTTCCACCAATGAGAAATTATGAATTTAGAGGCTTTAAGCAATAGCCTATGATATCATGTACTATTTCCTTTTATCTAATTCTGATGTTTTCATGATTTGGAGCAGAGGATAAGTCTGCTTGGAGGACTGATGAAGAATTTGCCAGAGAAATGCTGGCTGGAGTGAACCCTGTCAACATTAGTCTTCTCCAAGTAATAATCTTCACAACATTTTGTGTGTGTGATGTTTTCCAATGATAATGGATGAAAAACAAACAAAACCTTGGAGGGTCCATTTTGTTCATCTTTAATCACATTTGCTTCTAACTGAACTGCAGGAATTTCCACCAGCAAGCAAACTAGACCCAAAAGTTTATGGAGATCAAGCCAGTAGAATAACAGAACAGGATATAGGGAACAACTTGGATGGACTAACAGTGCATGAGGTAATATCTTGGATTTGCTTCCTTTACATTGTATTATAGCTTATGTTTGAGTTTATATCATTTCATAATGATGAAAATGAATTTGGTTGGATAGGCACTCAAGCAGAACAAGTTATTCATATTGGATCATCATGATGCATTGATGCCGTACCTGAGGCGGATAAACTCAACTTCCAACAAGATCTATGCTAGCAGAACAGTTCTTTTCTTGAAAAGTGATGGAACTTTGAAGCCATTGGTGATTGAATTAAGCTTGCCTCATCCTGATGGAGATCAATTTGGTCGCATTAGTAAAGTATATACACCAGCTGAAGAGGGTGTAGAAGGCTCCATATGGCAACTGGCTAAAGCTTACGTGGCTGTAAATGACTCTGGATATCATCAACTAATCAGTCACTGGTACTAATCTTTCAAAGAAAAAGACTTAGAAAATGAATAAAACATGCAGTTTGAATTGGGTTTCTGATAATTCTTTTATCTTTTGGCCACAGGTTGAACACCCATGCAGTGTGTGAGCCAGTTGTAATAGCTACAAACAGGCAGCTAAGCGTGGTTCACCCAATTTACAAACTTCTGCATCCTCACTTCCGTGACACCATGAACATAAATGCATTTGCCAGGCAAATCCTGATTAATGCTGGCGGCATTCTGGAGACGACAGTTTTTCCAGCTAGGTATGCCATGGAGATGTCATCAGTGGTTTATAAGGATTGGGTTTTCACCGAGCAAGCTCTCCCTGCAGATCTCATCAAGAGGTAAACAAAAATCTACACTTTGTGAGTTAATAGCCTCTGCACAAGTAACTCAAATGAGCAGAAGATAAGTAATAAATATCCATTCCTTATTCTAATTACATTGCTTTGCCTTTGATCAATACAGAGGAGTTGCTGTCAAGGATGCAAATTCTCCACATGGTCTTCGCCTACTGATCGAGGACTATCCATATGCCGTTGATGGGATTGAAATCTGGTTTGCAATTAAAACTTGGGTTGAAGACTATTGCTCTTTCTACTACAAGACTGATGACATAATTCAAAAAGACATTGAACTCCAATCCTGGTGGAAGGAGCTTGTAGAGGAAGGCCATGGTGACAAAAAGATGAGCCCTGGTGGCCTAAAATGCAGACTCGCGAAGACCTAGTAGAAACATGCACTATCATCATATGGACTGCTTCTGCTCTCCATGCAGCCGTCAACTTTGGACAGTACCCTTATGCAGGATACCTCCCCAACCGCCCTACTATAAGCCGAAAATTCATGCCTGAGAAGGGAACTCCTGAGTACAAAGAGCTCGAATCCAGCCCTGATACAGTTTTCTTGAAAACAATTACTGCTCAGCTGCAGACAGTGCTTGGCATTGCCCTCATTGAAATTCTGTCAAGGCATTCTACTGATGAAGTGTATTTGGGGCAGAGAGACACTCCTGAGTGGACAGTGGACACAGAACCATTGAAAGCCTTTGATAAATTTGGAAGTAAACTGGCTGAAATTGAGGACAGAATTACAAGTATGAACAATGATGAGAAACTGAAGAACCGAGTTGGACCGGTGAAGATGCCATACACTTTGCTGTTTCCTACTAGCGAAGGAGGACTGACTGGCAGGGGAATTCCCAACAGTGTCTCAATCTAAGCCTCTCAAGCTATTATATAGACTAAAGTTAATTAGTATAATGCAAGTTGCAATTACTATATATAATTAATTAGTATAATGCATTCTTTATGTGTAATAAGCTATAATATTACAGTTGCAATAAAGCCTTGTAAATTGCTTGGCTACATTATATTTATATAAATAACTCTGTATTCATTGGTTCATTAGCTTCATTGCAAGCCTTTGAGTTAGAAAATTCTGCAGCAACATTTCATCCAAGATATTGGAAACTATGAAAATCAGAATTTTAAGCCTTACTTTTTAATAAGCATATTTGAGAGGGAGCAGCAAAAGCATCTTTGAAATCATCCATGACAATATGTATAAGCGCCTAATCTCAATCTCAGCATGCCTGCAAGTGCATAAAATAAGTTGACTCCGTCTCATCTGTTCAAAATTAAATGACAATCATCACCGAGGAAAAGCAAAAACAATATAAAATTTAATAAGTCAACTGCTTCCATAAAATTAAGGCTTAAATGTTAAAATGGTCTCTGTGTTTTACACATTTGGCAAATTTAATCTCTGTGTTTTTAATTTGGCCAATTTAGTCTCCGTGTTTTACTCCGTTAGCAATGTTGTACATTATGTTAAATTACCGTTAAAAAAATTCATTAGTAATAACATTTTATATGATATTTTGAATAAAAGGTTACTACTTAGGTAGGTGAAACCTTAACAAGTCCAAGAAAAGAAAAAGTTCAGTCATCTTCTACCATGTGGCTTGACTATAAACTCTAATGTGAAAGCTCAAGATGGCTTCTTCTTATCACAATATTAAAATTTAATCAGCAACTTGTTCAAGAAAAATCATTCCAAGCACTTTCCTAGTAAATTATTTTGAAGTCTACCCTACTTTACTGATTGACCTGTCATGAATGATGATGTGGCACATGGGAAACACAATTGGCTTTGGCAAGACTTCTGCAAACCCCTTGAATGTAAAAACTCTCTAGCTTTTCCCATTGACGTTATGCCCACTTCCATTTGCGATGGGGCCAGCAAACCCTTATGTATGTATAATGTATTGGCGGTGTATTTTTTAATAACTAAATGGACAATATTAGAAAATTCAGCAAGCCATTTTTATACAGAATCTGCAGAAAGTAAGTAATTGAAATCTTGCATAAATGTGTCTACATTTGTCGGTTCGGTAAAAGAGGGTTGAAGAAGCTGCCTTGAACCATCGTCGTCATCATCATCAAATGCCAAAATTGACATACAACTGTAAACAATAGGAAAAGTCTGGGTCTTTTAAGTCAACTCCTGCAAATGCAATAGAACAAATAAAAAGAATTTTTATTTATTTATTGTTGGGTCATGATGAGAACAACATAAGATGAGTTGGTGAAGTTTGAAGACCAGAACTTGAGGCCAAAAGCTGTAAAATCAATATGACTAGGATTTCATACAGACTGATATAGTGATCTCACACTTCCCATAAATACCACACCTTCTCTCACTTATTCTTCACACTGACTGAGATCCTCAAAACCTTCTTTTATTAAATTTTCTCAGTTCTTTCTTCAAGCAACTGACAAAGATGCTTCATTGCAAGTATCTCAGTCCTTTGAGCTTCAGGACAAAAGATCCGTGTGGAGCTCGGATGAACTCAGTTGTTGCAGCAGCAACAGTCAACAATCCAGATCATGCCACATCACCCAATGGCTTGTTGCCTATGACTATGAAATTGTTCCCTGGTTTCTTGCGCATGACTGATGTTGCACGATCTCAACCGTTGACTGTGGCTTCATCTGCCAAGCCGTCCCAGAACATCACCGTTGATCCACACCCCAAAGACGGAGGCAAGAAGATCAAAGGGAGAGTGGTGTTGATGAAGAAGAATGTTTTGGAGTTAAATGACCTCAAAGCATCGTTTCTTGATCGTGTTCATGAGCTGTGGGGCGAAGTGGTTTCTCTGCAGCTCATTAGTTCTGTTAATGGTGACCCTGGTGAGTATTGAATACTATTTGTCTTTATGATTATAGATATGTGGCTTCTAGTTTACTTCTTCATTAATTAGCTTCAATGGTTTTCCTTTGAATAAGTATGTAATTATTTATTAAAGAATGTTGTTTTTATATCTTAATACCAGAACCCCAAAAGATAAAGGAGAACATCTCAATTTATAATTTTTTTAATTTTATTTTAAAAGCCCACAAATTTTGAGGTCTCATATTTGAACATTTGTTGATTGGTTTTTGAGTGTGATGTGTTTTCATTTTCATTTTTTATTTTTATTTTATTTTGGTAGAAAATGGGCGAGGAAAAGTTGAAAAGCCAGCATATTTAGAAGATTGGGTTACCACAATCACTCCCTTAACAGCAGAGGAGTGTACATTTGAGGTTACTTTTGATTGGGATGAGGAGATTGGAGTCCCAGGAGCATTCATAATAAGAAATGATCATCACAGTGAGTTTTACTTGAAGACTCTCACACTTAACCTTTGCACGTTAAAATGAAGGATAATACTACCAACTTTTTTTCCCAATTTTTTCGTCCCAAATTTCTGTGTCTAACAAAACCCTAAACCATTTTCGTCAAAGTAGGCATGCAACACACTAAGGGGGGTGTATCCAATTCTAACTTTAATGACTTTTAATGAGTTTAAAAGTTTGAAGGTATTCAATTGTGACTTTTAAATAGTCTTTAAAAGTTTAGTTGTATTCAATTGTGAGTTTTAAAGAGTATTTAAAAGTTTTGAGGTATCCAAAATGTTAATGACTTTTAAAAACTTTGTTAAATAAATGACTTTTCAATACTTTTAAAGGTAATTCTTACTACCAAAAGTCTTGCTAATTTACACCAGACTTTATGAAAATATTGGGAAGCTGAGAAGATAGAACCAAAACGTCTCCAAACGTCTCCAATTCTTTCTTCCTTTGTTATATCAAGCATCAAGCAGATGGATCTTTTTTCTTCATGGTTAGGGCTCCACTTTGGTATCCCATTGTCATCCACTTCCTTCAGGTTAGTAAAAAAATATTGAATGTTTTTCTTCTCTTCTCATCCACACGTTTCTGTTGATGAATATCTCTTCTCATCCACTTCCTTCAGCTATGTTTGCATATAAATATTTTATTATATTGATTGTCTCATATGCTATGTTTGCATACAATATTTTATTATATAATTTTTGCCCCTAAACCCATTAATTTATTCTTTAGGTACTGTTTCTTTACCCATAATTCGTTAGGTGGATAATTTTTTTCATATAATATTCTCAATTTGATTACATCCCACATATTGGGTTAGGAGAATTGCTGGAATATAGACTCTTGTAATCTGACCATTTTTGTTGATTTGTGAGTGTTTATGAAATATTATTGATGACTGAGTAATATTTATTTCTTTTGATAAGAATATGTTACTTGTCTATGTGATTAGATTTGATAAATAAAAATTTAAAAGGTGCATTGGATGCAGTTTACCAATAAGCTATTATGAAAATATACACAATTAAAAAGGATTTGTACATGTGATATAGTAATTATCAATGGAAGAATCACAACGAGGAAATGACAAAGGAAAGAGCAAAGTTAGTGGGGGTTATAAATTGTGGACGTTGGAAGAGAGCAATGAGTTGCTACAACTCATGGTTGATGCCGCCAATCGTGGATGGCGTGATAGTAATGGAATGCTAAGTAAGCAAACAGTTGAGAAAAAGATACTTCCTGCTCTTAATGCAAAACTTGGATGTGAAAGGAATCATTCACAATACTTAAGCCGATTGAAATGGTTTAAGCAACAATATAATATTTTTTCTGAGCTTATGCGTCATAGCTCTGGGTTTGGGTGGGATCCAATCACAAAGAAGTTCACTGCTAGTGATGAAGTGTGGAAAGATTATATTAAGGTGAGCTTCTATTTTCGAAAATATATTATATGATAATTTATTATTTTGTATGTGTATGCATTAATTGTATTTTTTTTCCCTTTGTTAGTCCCACCCGGCCCATGTCAACTTTCAGACAGACACTTTTGCTGACTATGAACTTCTGAGAATTGCAATTGGGAATGGAACTGCCATTGGAAGAAACTCAATTGCATTGGGAGATGATACGGATGCAAGAATATTAGGAGTGGAAGAAAGTAGACGTGTGGGGATAGATGACTTGAGTTATGACTATGATAATCATGCATTCATACCAAATGAAGTTGAAGCTGCAACATTCCAAGATCTATCACCCAAACAACCTAATTCATATATTCCCACTCAAGGCACGAATGTGGAGCTTCCCTTGGAAAGCAATGGTCAGAAAAAAAGAAATAGAACTGAGTATGAGGGGAACACTAGCTCTTTTGAGACCAACACTTGAGCCGATGTTCTAGAAAGAGTTTCTCTTAGCATTGATTCAATTGCCACAGATTTTCGGGGAATCCATAGCCTTATGGAAAAAAAGGAAAAAGAGAATGGTTGCTTTGATGCTATCATGGAAATCCCAAACTTAGATAGTTAGGTTCGTTACAAGTTTGTTGAGTTGCTTAATACTAAAGCAAAAAAATATATGTTCTGGAAAATGTCACCTCAAGAGCGCAAAGATTGGATAATGTATAAGTTGTCAGAATGAATGAGGTTATGTGGGAGACGATAGACTTTGGTTATTTTGGAGTATGCTTAATCAGAACTTGTTATGCTTAATCAGAACTTGTCTGAATTTTTGGAGTTTGTTTATGGCTTCATATTTGTGGAATTTTGTCAAATTTTCTATTGGGAACATATTTAAAGTTTAAAAGTTTGTTTCATATGCATCAAATATGATATCTTTGAGTAGTTGGTGCTTTTCAATTCCTATTATAATATTTAGAAAAAATTGCATGCATGATACCTTAAATATTAATTCCATTTTAGAAATGTTGTTTCCCATGCAATTTCAAGTGCATTCTTTACTAAACAGAGGCAACCACATTATATATTACATAATGTAATTGCTTCCAATTTTTATTTTAGGTGGTTCACATATGATGTCTCAATTGATCATGCATGAGATAATAGAGTAGAGGAAGAGGAAATGGAGGGAGAAGAAATGAACGAGGAAGAAATGGATGAAGAATTTTACGAAACCATCAAGCATTTACTAATGGCAATGGAATCAGTGGTCCAAGTGCTACATGAGCTTATGGTTATTATGCATAGTGAGCATATTGGGCGTCCATTAATCCGACGACCAATTACTACAAGTGAGTATGATTATATACATAAAATATTACATGAAGATCCTGAAGAATTTTGACAAGTTTATAGAATTTATCCATATATGTTTCGGAAATTATGCACTATCATCAGAGACAAAACACTCCTACAAGATACAAGATTTATTTGTGTTGAAGAAACGCTTGCTACATTTTTACTCACTGTAGGTCAAAATTCTCGATATTGTCTTACCCAAAAGACATTTGATCGATCACATTTTGCTACTAGCAAAAACTTCAACAAAGTCTTGAAGGCATTGAACACGCTAGCACCAGAAATGTTGGCTAAACCTCGATCTGCAGTGCCAGCTAAGATAAGAGAAAGTACACGATTTTACCCCTATTTTAAGGTAATGAAATTTATTATTATAAGTATTATTGTTATTATTCCAACAAAGACTATGTTTTACTTATAATTTCTTATTCATTCATTTCAGGATTGCATTGGAGCTATTGATGGTATACATATTCCAGCCATGGTGAAGGGACGTGATGTAAGCAGCTACCGCAATCGTCATGGAAATATATCACAAAATGTATTAGCAGCATGTAACTTTGATTTGGAGTTCATATACGTGCTCAGTGGATGGGAAGGTTCAGCTCATGATTCAAAAGTGTTAAATGATGCTTTATCAAAAAGGAATGGACTCAAGGTACCACAAGGTACACTCTTATCTCTTCGTTTTATTATTATCATTCATTATATCATGCTTTGCATACAAATTATATATATATATATATTTTATGATTAGGTAAATATTTCTTAGTGGATTGTGGATTTCCAAATCGACGTCAATTTTTAGCTCCATTTCGAGGTGTACGATATCATCTCCAAGATTTTGCTGGTCAAGGTCGTGACCCCGAAAACGCAACTGAGTTGTTCAATCTTCGCCATGCTTCCTTGAGGAATGTAATTGAGAGGATATTTGGGATATTTAAATCAAGATTCACAATTTTCAAGTCAGCACCTCCATTCCCATATAGGACTCAAGTAGAGCTTGTGTTAGCTTGTGTAGGACTACATAATTTTCTTCGTAGGGAATGTCGTTATGATGAATTTCCTATTGAACCAGAGAACGAGTCTTCATCATCTTCACCATTACCAGGGAATGAAGGAGATAATGTGGAACAAGTTTTTGAAACTCAATGACAACAACGAGAGAATGCTAATGAATGGAGAGTTGGTATAGCTTCTGACATGTGGAGAAATGCCATGCAAGATAATAACGGAACTCAACGGTAATGAGCATTGGAATTTTCAAAAGGAATTTGTATTATGGTTTATTCACCGTCATTGAAATGAATCATGGCTAAGCTTTTTTTTAAACTGAATCATGGCTAGTTGAATGCCAATTATTTCCTTATGGTACATTTTCAAATGTACTTTGTCATTTTTATCATTTTCTAATGTTAAGGAGAACTATTCTTTGCTTTTATGTAATTGTATCCAATTGTTTTTTTCCCTAATTTTTTGTTCAATATACGCCGACTAGTTCATTCAACATAAAAGATAAATGCTATTTGTAAAATAAATATAAAAATAAGTATTTAAAAGTCTATAAAACTCTATGACAAAAGTATATGAAAGTTTGTCACTTAACTTTATAAAGTACGTAAAAGTCATTAAGAATTTGTCTACTCTAGAAAACTCATTCACTTAAAAAAGATTTTTTAAAAGTTAGAATTGGATACACCCCCCTAAGTAAAGTTTGATAACTGGGATTAAGATAGACTAATAATTAGTGTTTATTTCATGCAAGGGATGTTAATTAGTAGGGCTTGTCCAATATAGATCCCTACATTTTCTATTTCCTAGACATAGACCCATCACTCTATAAATCTATGTGTAAAACTCAATTTCAAATTTAAATGACCAGTAGGATATAAGAGGTCATAGTATTTCTATGTTTTTACATTATTGCCACTAAACTTCATATTTTATTTATAATTTATTTGAAGCATTTCATTAACTGCCATAATTGTAATTAATATACTCCCTATTAATAGCATATCAATCACCCAATTTCTTTTAGTTGTCATTCCCTCTCACATCTCGCCCCCTAAAATTGCAAACAAAAAAAAAATCTGTAAATTGCATATCCAATAATGTACCTATGAAAAATATAATATATACATATACATATAAAATATAGGTATATTAATTACCAAAAAAAAAAAACAAAGTCAGTTACTTTGTAATTGCGTACATTTTTCATAATTAAAAATAGGTACACAATAATTTATATAAATATAGGTACATTATTTACCCATAGGTAAATTATTTTACAATATACCTATAAATATGTGTAGGTACATTATTTGGAGAGGAAAAATAGGTACATTATTAGAGGAAAAAAATAGGTAAGTTATTTGGAGAGAGAAAATAGGTTCATTTAAAAAAATTACTTTTAATAAAACAAATAATAGGTACTTTATTCAGAGAAAAAATGCTATATTATTTATAGAAAAAAAATAGTAGGTATATTAGATAACATATAATACCTAAATCCTAATTGTAAGTACATTAAAATTAATCTAGGTATATTGGACGTCATATAATGTAGGTATATTGGAATAGATAATTATGTACACTTTTCATACTAGGTAAATTATATTTTTCATAAAACAAACAAGTAATAGGTACATTTTTTTTTCAACATAATTAGTATGTACAGTTTTATTCATAAACAATTATAAAGTGGATTATTAGTCATGTATAATTCATAAAAAGAAAATAACATAAACATTTATTAAACAAACCGATTAACTAAATTTGAATTTTTTTTTTTTTTTTTTTTTTAAATGTAAATGAATCAAAATTAATTCCTACATCCATTACAACAATTTGGAGATCTTTCCAAATTCAACATCTGTCATTATATACAATCCAATTAAAAACTGTTTCCATATTGATTCCTACATTAATATACAAAATGCAATAATGCTTAGTTGGGGGTATTTTTGGAATATGAAAAGTACAATAAATCAGATTTTATGCTTAATTAGGTAACTTGTTGAGTTAGATCCTAGTTATGGGTTTTTACTTATACAAATTGGGTATTATTTATAGGAACAAAAAGTGAAGGATTGTAGGTACGTCAAATTGAATTGAAGGGTGTAAACCAAATTTACTATAATTAGTATAATTGAGCTACACACAGATCACGTGCATCAATCCACCCATAGTTTTCATTGCAAATAGTGTGTATGTCTGTTTTGTGTTGTGATGAAACTAATCCCACTAAACCCACAAACAAAATCTTTTGGAATTTGATATTGAAAATGAGAATAAACAAATTATTCCCAAATGGAAAAGAACCCATGTGAAAAGCGAGGGAATATAACTATTCATAATATTTAAAAGCCAACTAGCTGCTGGGAGAAGAATATTATTACAAAGAACAAGTCCAACGTGGCAGCTTAAATCAGGGTCCGAACCGATGGCCCTTTGCTTTTGCTTCTGAAATAAAGCCAAACCCAAGGCTGCGGTTCCAAATTGGCCACATTGTCTTTTCTGGATAAAAACAAAAAAAAGGCACAATAAAAGCGTATTTTTATTTTACATAGAGACTGCGGCAAATGCAAATCATTTTCCAGCCCAGGAATTGTCCAGGATGCGATGAGAAAAAATTAAATTAGCGTATAGTCTATTCTTGTGGTCTATATCCTATCATACATGCGTAGTGTGGATAAGGTATATGGGTCATTACAATATATGTATTTTATTATAGGAGTAGTTCTTCGTACGAATAGACGTACTTTCTTTATTAAAATATTAATATCTTTATCGAGAACATGTGAATAATAAAACGGATCAACATACTATAGCTACGCCATCGATTATATATCTTAATACATAATCTGTATTTTAACAAAGAAAAGACGTGATGCATATAGAATTTCTATAAACAAAGGGTTAATCTTAAAGGGATGAGTATGGGTTAATTTGCATTTTGCTCCCCTTGGTCACTGTCACCAAGCCATTCCTAGAAATATACAGCCGTACAAATAATTTCCTTAGATAAAAGTCGTGGAAGACATTTTCCAGAGAAGAGACTGCTGACTTGGAACCAATCCTATATTTCTTTTAAAGAAAAAGTAAGACAATTAAACGTGCCCATATTTGAAATGAAATTGAACACATGAACTGATTATTATTCCGAAGCTTCTCAGAATGGAGTAATATTGCTCACTTTCTCCCTATAAATACCACCACAATTCCCTGTTGCACTCATCCATTCCAACTTTCAACTCATTTCACCAACAACAGCTACTTTTTTCTCGAAAAAAAGATCATAAGATTCTTTGCTTACTTCTTGGAAAGCCGAACAAAATGTTGCACAACCTCTTTGACAAAATCACAGGCCAGGAGCAGAATGGGAAAAACAGTAGGAAGATCAAAGGGACTGTGGTTTTGATGAAGAAGAACGTGTTGGATTTCAATGACTTCAATGCTTCTGTTCTTGATGGTGTGCATGAACTGGTAGGCCAAAGGGTTTCTCTGCAGCTCATCAGTGCTGATCATGGAGACTCTGGTGAGTTTTTTTTGTCTCTCTCTTTAATTTTCATTAAAAATGTATAATTTTTATGGCTTCATTGATTGAATATGCATGACATGAAACCAATTTGAGTTTTGCTCTTGTTTCATTTCCTTGTAATTCTTTTTCTCTGAAGCAATTATGACAAGATTAAGAAGATGAACCAACAACTCTATCTCTTTCCTTGGTGGATTAGTTGGGTTACAGATTATGTCATTAATCTCTTTTCTTATTTGATGCACACCTGCCTTTTAGGTCCAAAAAATCAGATTTTGAATGCAATTCTGACATAACCAGGCAATGGAAACAGCTTTTTGACAATTCAAGGGGCACCTGGGTCAATTAATCCATTTTTATTTATTTATTTTTTGGGTCCAGTCATGAGGCATTTGGAATGATTGGTCTTAACCTTACCCCTTCCAACACTCTCTCATTGTGATTGAAGGTGCCCCAACACTGTTTTTGCCCCGTGTATGCAAGTGATTTGGTGGCTAAAAGTACAGTAGAGACATTACTATTTTAATGGCAGGTGTTTTATAGTCAATCTAACAGCATCAATATTTATTGTACTATTTGGTGTGCTACACGAGAAATCTATATTATTTGGGGGGTCTCTATCATTCGGAGGAAACAAAAACTTTTTAATTCATCTTCTTCGTGTAATTATGTCATCCTCATTTCTGGTAACAAAAAATTTGAGTAAAAAACCAGTTTAGTTTTGAAAGATATGAAAATGATTTTTAAATCATGGCCATCAGCCATTCCATTTGTTATTTTTTAAATAGTGGTCATGTCAGGAAAGCTAATCTTTTGAACGCCAATTACCAGTCTAGCTACCAGTTAACATGAAAATGAAGCTCCATGCAGTTGGCTGTTGGCTGTTGGCATAGCTTTTAAGCCTTTTTCGGATTATGGTTTTTTACTCAGATCCAATTATTTTTGGTTTTCCTTTGAATATTCTGAAGAAACAGCTGCAGGTTCTGTTCCTACTAGATATGGAATTATATTCTGAACTTGGAGAAATGTGTTTTTTGTAGAAAACGGGTTTAAGGGGAAACTTGGAGAGCCAGCATATCTGGAAGACTGGATCACCACAATCACTCCATTAACAGTTGGAGATTCTGCATACAAGGTTACCTTTGACTGGGAAGAGGAAATAGGAGTTCCAGGAGCCATCTTGATAAAAACAATCATCACAGTGAGTTCTTCCTTAAGACTATCACCCTTGAAGATGTTCCTCGTGAGGGCCGGGTCCACTTCGTTTGCAACTCATGGGTGTACCCTGGAGAAAAATACACGAAAGACCGTGTTTTCTTCGTTAACAAGGTAACGAATAATTCACACCATTCATTGTAGCTGATGGCAGTTGTAACTTCTTAGGGCAAGCTTAGTATGTTATGAGTATATTAGTGACTTGTATTGTAAGTTAAAGACTAAAGTTCATGCCTGCAATATATTTGTGCAGACATTTCTCCCAAGTGAAACACCGTTGCCGCTGCAAAAATACAGAGAAGAAGAACTAGTACATTTGAGAGGAGATGGAAAGGGAGAGCTCCAGGAATGGGACAGGGTCTATGACTATGCTTACTACAATGATCTAGGGAACCCTGAT